TTCCACAGCTGCCCTCCTCAGATGAGACATCCTCTGAAGGCTCCTTGGCGCCCCACCGCAAGCCCAAACTTCCGGAGGAACGCGCAGATTTCTTGGATCGGCGCTGGGCCCCCATTGGCGGCGCCTGGCGCGCTCCGCGCGCCAGGGACGGGCGGCCCAGCGCCGACCCAAGAAACCTCTGCGCGGACCTCCGAAAGCTCATGCTTCTGCCGCTGTGCTGCTCTTCGAGTGCTCGCTGACGAGGACACGCCGGCCGTCGCCGCCCACGACGAACTCGAAACCGACCGACCTGAACAGGAGCAGTCGGCATCGAATCGAAATATCGGATCGGATCGGAGCGTGCGTCGGATCGGGCTGCATCGGCACGGAATCGAGGTCGAATCGAACGGGCTGCGCCAACATGCGCGACAACGCCGTGCAGGCATCGAGTCGCATCAGATCGATGGAATACCATGATTACCCCCCGCACATGCGGATAGGAGCAAGGGGCTGCTGTGGTCTCGGCGCAACGCGCTGTGAACTGGAACAGGGCGCGCGGCTCCCTGGCGCCTGCGGAACCACAAATAAAAAAGGAGATCGCGGAGAGATGCCGGTTTCCACAACGGACAAATGAGAACGCACCGAAGTGGCGCCCATTCCAGGGCGGCGACGGATTTCGACGAATACCCGAGCTCCAGTCTGGGGCCTGACTGGAAAAATCCGACGAAGCATTCAAACAACAAGCCCGCCGCAGGCGCCAACTTGTCAATCTTGAGCACGCGCATCTGCGCAGCCAAGACCAGCGCCACCAATGGGCCCCCACGACGCCGCGGGCCCCCTCGGGCGGGTTACTGAAGCAATTTGTCCTGTCGACGGCGAGGCAGAGGCAGAGGCAGAGGCAGCAGTCCGCTCCAGCGTGTGGCTATTCGGGGGAACCGAACGGCAAATCGTCCAGCGTGCCCGACGTGGGGTTGCCGAGACCAGCCCCAACCTGAAGCATGCAGTGCAGAAATCTGCCGCAGGCGCCACTGCTGTATAACTGTCCAGCGCTGCTGCACATCTGCGCCGCCAGGACCGGCGCCACCCGTGGGCCCCGCGGCGACGGGCGCCCACGACGCCGCGGGCCCCCGCGAAGCCACGACCAACGCCACCCCTGGAGACCTTGCCCCTCCACGGGGCCCTCCGCCTCGCGTCCTCCTCTCGAGCAGCTTGGCGTCGTAGCCCACGACGGCGCCGAGCCTCCTCCCTATCTGGGTGCTGCGGCGACGGCCCCCCGCGACGCCGCGGGCCCCCCGCCGGGGGGCCCCTTGGGCGGCCCTCCCCCGGGCCCCCACACGACCAGCGCCACCCGTGGGCCCCGCGGCGACGCGCCCCCGCGACGGGCCGCGGGCCCCCCGCGGTGCCCCCGGGCCGCCCCCCCCCGCCGGGCCCCCACGAGTGCGCGCGGGCGCCCCCAGCCGAGCCCCGCTGGGAGGAGGAGGAGGAGGAGGAGGAGGAGGAGGAGGAGGAGGAGGAGGAGGAGGAGCCAGAAAGAAGAAAAAAGGAAACATGGAAACGCGACGGTGCTTGCCTGCCCAGAAGCAGCCACCGCGCGCACGACTTGAAGTGGACTCGCGCGGGCGGAATGGCCCTCGCTCCAGTTAGAGGCCCCTGGAATGGGGTCGGAGCAGCAAGGGCCGGAGGACTGCGCCGCATCGCCGATGCATCGGCGATGCAACTGCGACGCTGGCGATGCACCGGCGCCGTCGGCATGGAGGAAGTCGGGCCCCACATCGAGCCGCATCGCCGATGCATCGGCGATGCGGCGCGATCCCCCGACCCCATACATTATGGCTCCATCTGTGAGGCCTAGAATCATCGGAATCGAGTCGGATCGAGCTGGCTGGGATCGACACCGAATCGGGTCGACCGGATCGAAGTGAACCCTGCCTTTGGGTTCCACGTTTTCCTGCTAAGACTCTGGGAGGCAAAATTTGGATTGCATAAGGAAGGCTGGCGGATGCGGTCGTTAATTAGGCGTGCATGAGATCATGCGAGGAGCTCGAGGTACGGCTGCAAAAACAAATCCAAGGGGGCATGTCTAACCCGCTTTTATGGAAAAGAAGGGGCCTCTCAAATGAAAGATGGGAACCTTGGAGGTGGCAAATGAGTCTGGACTGAATGGGCCTCGAGAGAAATAATTACCGGAAACTCAATCCAAATGTGTCCCTGACACCTCCGGGGGGGGGTCCACCTGGTGCGTCTGTTCACCCCGGGAACGGCTTTTGACGGCACCAGGGCCCGAAAGCGGCCCCCTGGAGGCCGACATGGGCCAAGAACCTTGTCGAACTCGGCACCTCGGACCTCGCCCCCGCATCCTGCTGGCCCGAAGCAGGCGCTGGGACACCTCCATGCCCCAGCCCGCTCCCAAGTGGAACCCTGCCATGTCCTGGGCAGCCTCGGCCCACTCCCGGGGACCGCCGCTCTTCCTCCTGGGTCCTTCGTTGACGGTCCCCCGCGGCTTCACAAGAAACAGCATGCGTCCTGCGTGCTTCAAGACCTCTGACCTATGGGGGGGCCCTGCCTTGGGACGCACAAGGACATACTAGTACGATGTGTCCTCCTTGGAAGCGTCCGTTCGACCCGCACATCCAGTATAGCCATCTGGTAGCATACCTATACGACCACACTTCGGGTGATAAGGAGTTTGTGGGGGGGAAGAACCAACTGAAGGTAACTGCGCTGACTGTGATGATGACGATGCTGGTAATGCGCCCTCGATTTGGCGACGACGCGTGGTGGCGACGCTGCGTCGCGGTGTGCTCCCACTGTCGCTCCCGCTGGATCGACCTCACCATCGAGACACCGCCGGGGCGCCAAGAGGCCAAATGAAGGCCACCACTACTAGGGAGCCCACAAAGGGCGTACGCGCCCAGCTATGTACATGAACACGGTCCCTTGAAACGCGAGACCGGCCGCGTGCTACGAACATTCGCGCAATGCGAACTCTCGAAACCAGCGTGGATCCATGTACGTGTACGTCCTTCTTTCGCTCCTGAACTACTGCGCCGTGATGGATGCTGCCGAACGAATACTGTGCCGTGATGGATGGTGCCAGCTGTCCTTCATTTGCCCTCGGGGCGCTCGCGGCCACGAGCGGCAGGGCGGCGGCATTTCTGTTGGGCCTCGGGGCGCCCGCGGCCACGAGTGGCGCAGCCTGGCCGCATGTGTGTGTGTACCGGACGCCATCGGGACACCAAGCAGGACACCACTCGGGACACCGAGCAGGACACCACTCGGGACACCCATCGGGACACCGACGGGGCACCCATCGGGACACCCATCGGGACATCCGCCTGGCCGTGTGTGTGTGTGTGTCTACAGTACACTATCAGGGCACTCATCGGGACACCACGCGGGACACCACTCGGGACGCCACTCGGGACACCAGTCGGGACACCGACGGGACACCGAGGGGACGCCGACGGGACATCCGCCTGGCCGTGTGTGCGTGTGTGTGTGTGTGTGTGTGTGTGTGTGTGTGTGTGTGTGTGTGTTTACCGTGCACTATCAGGGCACTCATCGGGACACCACTCGAGACACCAATCGGGACACCGACGGGACACCGACGGGACGCCGACAGGACACCAGCGGGGCGCCCACGGGTCACCGACGGGACACCAACGGGACACCGGCGGGACACCGAGAGGACACCGATGGGGCACCGACGGGACCCCGACGGGACACCAATCGGGACACCGACGGGACACCGAGGGGACACCGACGGCACAACGACGGGGCACCACGGCGGGACACCCGCGACACCGCCGCGCCACCGAGGACTGGTCAACGACTCGGACCCACCCTAGCCACAGCGGAGTCATGACTCTCGTCCGCCCACGCAGCTCCGCCTCGCCCGCACGCACGTCACGAACCCGAAACCGAAACCGCTTTCCCTGGGGGGGCTCTCCGTTCCACATCGATCTCACCCCCCAACCTCCGATCGTTTCTCGAGCGGTATGGCAAGAAAGCACCCGGCAGGACGCATGTGCTATGAAATTTCTCGGCGCGCGCGTCGTCCATGGGGGCGACACACACATAATATTCGTCAGAATGAGGGGGCCGAACGGTCATTCACTGTCCCTGGGCGCGTGGCTGAAGTGAGGTTCTGATGTGCGGATTGTTGTTGTTGTTGGTGGCGGTGGTGGCGGTGGTGGCAGTGTTGTTGTTGTTGTTGCTGTTGTTGCTGCTGCTGATGTTGATGCTGCTGTTGTTGGCGTTATGGTTGTTGTTGTTGTTGTTGTGGTTGGTTGCTGGTTGTTGTGGTTGGTTGTTGGTTGTTGGTTGTTGGTTGTTGCTGCTATTGGTGTTGCTGTTGCTGCTGATGTTGTTCATGTTATTGTTGCTGTTGTTGCTGTTGTTGTTGTGGTTGCTGTTGTGGCTGTTGATGTTGTTGGTGTGAGTGCTGTTCGTTGTTTGTTGTTTGTTTGTTTGTTTGTTTGTTTGTTTGTTTGTTTGTTTGTTTGTGTGTGTTGTTTGTGCTATTTGTTTGTTTGATTGCTTGTTGTTGTTGGTGGTGTTGTTGGTTTGTCGTCGTCCCCTCCGCGACCCAGCCCGCGACCCACCCACGACCCACCCGCGACCCACCTGCGACCCACCCGCGACCCACTCGCGACCCACTCGCGACCCACCTGCCACCCGGCCCGCGACCCACCCGCGACCCACCTGCGACCCGCCCGCCACCCGCCTGCGACCCACCCCGCGACCCACCAACACTGCTTCAACGAGAAGATCGGCGCCTGCGGCAGGCTCGTTGCATCATCTGTAAGAACTTGTCGCCTGCGGCGGGCCTCCGCAGAGCCTCGCAGACTGCCGACGTGCCCGCCGCCCCCCCGACTCTTATCCGCAACTGCGGGTTGCTACGTACTGGGGCGACGAGGAGGAGGAGGAGGAGGAGGAGGAGGAGGAGGAGGAGGAGGAGGAGAAGGAGCAGGAGGAGGAGCAGGAGGAGTGCCTGTACAGCGCCACGGCGGCCGCGTTCGTCACCTCGACGTGGAGCCGCACGCGCCGGCCCCGGGCGCCGGCGCCGCGCGCCGCTCGCGCCTCTCCGGCGGCGGCCAGGCACCTGCCGAGCAGCGCCCGCGCGGCGCCCCGGCGCCGCCAGCGGGGGTCCACGTAGAGCCTGCAGGAAAGGAGAGAAAGCATACAGTCGGGGCGCTGACCTAAGGAACCCTAAATAAGGAACGAGGCTCCTTTTTTCCATAGGTTGAACTTCGATTTCGTATCGAAAACCTGAGGAAAATCCAAGGCAAGCTGCGAAACAATTAAGGAACACGGAGCCCCTCCCCAACGAAAAGGGTTCCTTCTTCAGGGCCCCGACTGTAAGCATAAGCTCTCGGAGCTGATTTCGTAGATCGGCGCCGGAGCCCACCACTTATATAGAGGAAGAGGAAGGAGCATAGGCATAAACTGTCGGAGCTCCCCACGCGGATCTCTGGGATCGTCGCTGGACCCCACCCCACACTCCCCGGTGCGTGGAGCGCGCCAGCGGCGGCGCCAGAGGTGCCGCCAGGAGGCCCCCAGCGCCGATCCAAGAAATCCGCGCGGATCTCCGAGAGGTCATGTTTTGAGGGGTGGCCTCCGGGTCATAACTCATCTCTCTTGCGGCCGCTCGGGGCAATCTGGACAAGCCCGGGGCGCTCTCGGCGAGTCGCCGCCGCTGGAGAGCATCCCGAGGCTGGAAGGGCGCTGCGCACCCACGAAAACGGCCGAAAACCTCGAACCTCTAAGGCCGCCGAGAATCCACGAAAGTCTGCGCTTCTGCCGCTGCTGGTCTTGGACGCACGCAAGGTGCGCGGACTCAGGGGGCGCAGGGTAGCGAGATCCAAGCGCGCACGCGGCCGCTGAGGCATCGCGCTCAAGCGCTCATCTCACCAAAGGTCACCCCAGACCCCCGACGCCGTGATTTGTCCCAACCATCCTGCGAATTTTGGGCCCTCGTTTTGACGACACAGCGCCCCGCATCCTCCTCCTCTCCTCCTCTCCCGCCTCCCTCCTCCCACCCCTGCATCGTCTCCGTTTCGTCACACCACTCACACGTTCCGTGGCCCCGAAAGGAGCTCCACCGAAGGTCTCTGCGGTGCAGTTCGCATGTGGGCGTCACGCCCGTTTCGGCACACCCCTCACACGTTTCGTGGCTCCGTAGGGAGCTCCACCGAAGGTCTCCGCGGTGCAGTTCGCATGTGAGCGTCACGCCCGTTTCGGCACACCCCTCACACGTTCCGTGGCCCCGAAAGGAGCTCCACCGAAGGTCTCCGCGGTGCAGTTCGCATGTGGACGTCACGCCCGTTTCGGCACACCCCTCACACGTTCCGTGGCCCCGTAGGGAGCTCCACCGAAGGTCTCCGCGGTGCAGTTCGCATGTGGGCGTCACGCCCGTTTCGGCACACCCCTCACACGTTCCGTGGCCCCGTAGGGAGCTCCACCGAAGGTCTCCGCAGTGCAGTTCGCATGTGGGAGTCACGCCCGTGTCGACACACCCCTCACACGTTCCGTGGCCCCGTAGGGAGCTCCACCAAAGGTCTCCACGGTGCAGTTCGCATGTGGGCGTCACGCCCGTTTCGGCACACCCCTCACACGTTTCGTGGCCCCGTAGGGAGCTCCACCGAAGGTCTCCGCGGTGCAGTTCGCATGTGGGCGTCGCGCCCGTTTCGGCACACCCCTCACACGTTCCGTGGCCCCGTAGGGAGCTCCAGCAAAGGTCTCCGCGGTGCAGTTCGCATGTGGACGTCACGCCCGTTTCGGCACACCCCTCACACGTTTCGTGGCCCCGTAGGGAGCTCCACCGAAGGTCTCCGCGGTGCAGTTCGCATGTGAGCGTCACGCCCGTTTCGGCACACCCCTCACACGTGGCGCCATAGGGAGCTCCGCCGAAGGTCCCAGTGGCGCAGTTCGCATGTGGGCGTCACGCCCGTGTCGACACACACGTCACAAGTTCCGTGGCCTAGGAAGCTCCACCGAAGGTCATTGCTGCAGTTTGCATGTGGGCGTCGCGCCCGTTTCGGCACACCCCTCACACGTTTCGTGGCCCCATGGGGAGCTCCACCGAAGGCCCCAGTTGCGCAGTTCGCATGTGGGCGTCACGCCCGTTTCGACACACCCCTCACACGTTTCGTGGCCCTATAGGGAGCCGCACCGAAGGTTCCAGTGGGAGGGTTCACATGCACCCGCCCACCTCCCCAAATCGGCACGCACCTCACACGTTTTGTGGCGCCATAGGGAGTTCCACCGACGACGATCCTCACAACTGCGGTACTCACAACTGCATCTGGTTGAGTCCTTCACCAGGCAAATTTCACAACGTCAACCCCCTGAGGTCTGGACCCCTTCCCCGGGACCGGTTCCTCATCCATAGTCGATGTTTGACGGTCCCGAGGCCCCGAAGGGCCCCCAAAGGCCGCAAGTACTGAAAAAACCGGTCACTCTGAAGTGTACTGGGATGACCGTGGGGGTTTCTCAGTGGATAGGGGGGTTACAAGTGGATGCTAAGGTGGGCTATATCTGGCCCAACCTGGCCTATAAGATTGTTACAAGTCCCCCGAGTGGCTTAGGGGGGTTAGATAACTCCGCTAAGTGGGCGGAGCCCACTTAGCCCAGATCGTTAACCCCCTAAGCCACTCGGAGCACTTGTAACCCACTTATAAGCCTGAGGGGTTAACGATCTGGACTAAGGGGGCTACGCCCACTTAGCGGAGTTATCTAACCCCCCTAAGCCACTCGGGGGACTTGTAACAATCTTATAAGCCAGGTTGGGCCAGAAATAACCCACCTTAGCATCCACTTGTACCCCCCCTATCCACTTAGAAACCCCCACGGTCATCCCAGCAACCGATGCTTGTCCCTCAGATTTGGAGTCCCGAAACGGTGCGGTGACAGACCGTGCGGTGACCTCGGAATCCCAAGAGACCTCACCGCACGGTCCGTCACCCGCACGTAATCCCAAAACCGCGCGGTGACCCCGAATCCCCACCGACTCACTGCACGGTGTGGTCACCACCCCGCGTTTGGGGGCCCCCGATCGAACGGAACCACGCAAGGCAGGCCGGGACCTCCGCGAGGTCCAGGGCGGCGAAGCCGGCAACCTCGGCGGCCCGGTCTGGCGCACGCGCCTCGGCCACGAGGGCCAGGCCGCCGGGTCGCTGCGCGACGGCCCGGAGGAAGGAAGCGCGGCACGGGCATGGGTCGGGCCTGTCCCCCTACAGGCGGATTTTGGAGGAAGAATTAAAAAGAATCCCAACATGCGCAAAAAGGCTAAGAAATACTGGACAAAATCGTCCCCAGACTATCCTTTGACCATTTCGATGTTTCCTCCTGTAGAGGGACATGCCCGACTTAACACGATCAGGAGCTCTCCAGGACCGCCCCCCTGAGATCTTGGCGTTGCAATCTTTTCGCACCGGGCGTTTTGGCCCCGGGCCCCGTTTCGGGCCCAGGGACCCTTACAGATCGATCCAGCTTGAAGCATGACGCAGAAAGATCGGGTCCCGGGCTCCGTGGCCTGGAGGAAGGAATCGCGGCACGAGCAGGAGTCATCAAGACCCCCTCGAGTCATGAATAAAACTGAAACAAGAAGCAAAGGCATAGACATGAACTGTGGGGGCTCCGCGCGGCTTTCATGGATCCGCACTGTGGCGCCTTCTTCGGGAAACACAGCGGAAGGTCTTTGGGCTATCCTCAGCAGGCTCTGGGGCCGTCAAAAAACTCAGCGCTCCTCAAACGGGGACTCCACTAACGGGTACTTTGGCCAGTGACCCAGCGAACCCAGCCCTTCCCGATGTGGGCAAAGCTGCAATGCAAGAAAAAGGCCCTAAAGTGGCAACTTTCGGCAAAAATTCAAAGTACCCGTTAGTAAGTACCCGTTACGGTGCCGTTGAAAAACAGCGCAGGGTGAAGAACCGGTCCCGGGGAAGGGGTCGAGACCTATGGGGGTCGACGTCGTGTTCAAAAACATGACGCCGGGGCCCCGGGCTCGGAGCTCCGCACCCAGACATGCAGCGACTCGAGAAACCGAGGCGGAGGCTCTTGTGCACAGTCCTCGGCCCCTGGAGGCCCTCGCTGGGTCCCAGGGCCGCCAAGGAAACGACTCGGGATGAGGCACTGGTTCCAGGAAAAGGCGGTCGAGAGGTCGGTGCCCGGGCCTCGAACAAAAGCAAGAAAGCCAGCCGTCTGGGTCTCGGAGCTCCGCCGGGACTCCCCGGGTGGGCGCACGGGAAGACAAGAGACAAACGAACGGCCGAAACAGGAAGAACTGTCGACGGTCCGCGCGGGCTTCCTGGATCTGCGCCGGAGTCCTCCTCCTCCTCCTCCTCCTCCTCCTCCTCCTCCTCCTCCTCCTCCTCCTCCTCCTCCTCCTCCTCCTCCCTGGCGCGCGGAGCGCGCCAGGGGCGGCGCCGGAGGCGCCGCCAGTGGGCCCAGCGCGGATCCGAGGAACCCGCGCGGCCCGTGGAGAAGTGCCTGTTTCGGCCATGTCTTCGTCCTCGAAGGAGGGCTTCGGGCTGCGAGGTGGCGCGCAGGCAGCCCCCCCAAGGGTGGTCCAGGCAGGCGGGCCTCGGCAGGCCCCCCCCCCCCCAGGGCAGCCCCAGCCGGCCTCAACAGGCCCCCGGAGTAAGGTCGGGAGCGGCCAAGAGGGGGGTGTCCAAGAGGGGGGGGGGTGCAAATCATGACCGGCGGCACGTGCGCGGCCCAGCGGGGGGGCCAGGGACGTAATGAAATGAGAAGGGGCGCCATGAAATCTGGGGAAATATCATGGCCCCCGCCATGATATCCACCCCCCCCTAGTCATCACCCCCCTCTTTTCTGCCCCCGAGAAGGCCTGGGACGGTCTCGACGCCCTGGCCATGGCCTCCTGCGGCGCCCCTGCAATGGGGCGCTCCGCGCCACGGGGGGCGGGGCGTTGATCGAGTCGGGCGAAAGGGAAGGATAGCAAAGGGGGGGTTTGAGAATCAGCTCACGTAGCTGATTTTCCCGGCGCCTCCCGGCGCCGGAGGCGGCTATGTATCGAGGAATGGGCCCCTCGGTGAGGCCGAAACCAGCTGCGTGCAGCAAATTTCGTACCCCCCCCTTTCCCAATCCCCCCCCTTTCGTCCAGCCCGAGTTGAGGCCGCCCCGGGGCCCGGGCGTTGAGACCGGGGCCCGGGCGTTGAGACCGGGGGGCCTGCAGAGGCCCGCCGGGGGGACTGGCCGGAGGGGCTGCCTGCGCGCCACCCGAAGCCTTGCCAGATCCGCGCGCTGGACCACCTCGGCGGCGCACCCCGCGCGTCACGGAGGGGGGTGGGTCGGCGCCGATGCGAGAAGTCCGCGCGGAGCTCCAGGAGTCAGTGCCTGTACCGTCTTTTCTTCCTCGGGAAGCCCTTCCACCAGTGAGGCCCGTAGAAGACGTGGTGATCCTCCAGCTCGCCCTGCGCGTCGATGCGCATGAGCGCGAACACATCCGCAGAGCCGCTGCTGGCGTCAAACGGCCGAATGACCAATGCTGTGGCATCTGACATGCCAGGAACCAGGATCCGATCCTTTGAGCCGATCGGCCTGCGCCACGCAGGTCTACGGACTCGGAGCAGAGCCTGCACACAAGACAGACTTATCGGTCCAGCGCTCGCTGCGCAGTCAGCTGACGTGGAGGAGCAAGCAGGTACCGATGCTGCCGACTGCTTGCTGGAATATCTCGCAGGGCGCATTCTGACCAGGATTCCAGGATTCCGGGGCGGAGCCACCCGTGGCGGCGAGAGCCCCCCCCCCCCGGAGGCCCCCGTGAAAACGGACGCCATCATCATCATCATCATCATCATCATCATCATCATCATCATCAGCAGCAGCAGCATCATCATCATCATCAGCATCATCATCATCATCATCAGCATCATCATCATCATCAGCATCATCATCATCATCATCATCATCATCATCATCATCATCATCATCATGATTATGATGATCTGTATCTACATGTCAGTCTCATCTGAGGGTGAGCACCGGACGTGCATCGGTATCTTCATGTCTGTCTCGTCTGAGGATCCGCCTGGAGCGCCAGGCCGAGGATGCCTCCCACCATCTGAGTAAATCGGGGACGGCGGCAAGGTCTGCTTCAAGAAGGGCGATTTCGACAGATGCAGGGGCGCCTCGGGTCGAGCTGGGGGGCCTCAGTGCGGGCTGGGGTGGCCTCAGGTCTAGCGAAACCAACCTTGCCCAACGAACCCTTCTGGCAGCCTCCGAGCGAAGCGGGACGTGAAGGCTACACCGCCCCTGCCGCAAGGGCCGTCTGGCCCTTCGGCCCGCGCGCAGCCTGCCTCAGACGGAGATCGGGGCAAGTCCGCGGAGAAAATGGGCAGGAGGGCGGAACGTACACGTGCCCCTCTCTGACCAGACCACACCGTCTGGAGCCACGCCCGAGACTCCAGGGCCTTTGCATACGGGTTCGTCCTCCTCTTGCTGCTGCTTCTCCTCTGTCCCCTCCGCGTTCCCTTTCTCCTCCTCCACCTCATTCTCCTCCTCCTCCTCCTCCTCTTCCTCCTCCTCCTCATCCTCCTCCTTCTCCTTGTCCTCCTTCACCCTGCGATTCCGACTCGCCCTCCTCCTTCTCCTCTTCCTCTTCCTCCTCCTTCTCCTCCTCCTCCTCCTCCTCCTCCTCCTCCTCCTCCTCCTGATTCACCTCCTCCTCCTCCTCCTCCTCCTCCTCCTCCTCCTCCTCCTCCTTCTGCCTCCTGCGACTCCGATTCGCCATCTTTCTCCTCCTACTCCTCCTTCTTCTCCTCCTCCTGCTGCCGCCCATGCTCCTCCACCAACTCCAGCACCACGGCAACAACGATGTTCACATCCGATGTCTTGATGCGTCCCAACCCTCCTGCAGCTGGGTTCTCGCTTTGCATGGAGCACTGCGGTCGCCACTTCTCCTTCCCGCCCCCGTCCTCCTCTCTGTCTCCTGCCTGTCTCCTGCCCCCTGTCTCTCCGTCCTGCCTGGGGACATCATTGGGGGGCTGCGAACTGCGAAACTGTCGCCAGTTGTTGGTGTTGCTGGGGGGGCCACCACAGTGGGCACACGCAGATTAGACCTCGTCATCCACGAGGGGGCTGCGCTCTGTGAGGCCGTCGCCACTTTCGAAGGCTGCTGGGGGCGGCAAACGTAGTGGGTATCGACCGCAGACTCAAATTGGACCTCGCCATCCCTGGGAGGGACTGCGATCGTTGAAATTGTTGCCACAGTCGAAATCTGCTGGGGTCGGCTAAATTAGTGGGTACCGACCGCAAACTCAATTCATACCTCGCCATCCCTGGGTGCTGCGATATGTGAACTTGCATTCATGGTCGGCAGCTGCTGGGGGGGCATCATGGTGGGAACTGACCGCAGACTCGAATAAGACCTTGCCATCCCCGGGGGGGGGTCTGCGATTTGCGAAAACGTCGCCGCTTTCAAAGGGCTGCTGGGGGAGCCAACATAGTCGGTAACGACCGCAGTCAAACTAGACCTCGCCATCCCTCGGGGGGGGCGATCTGTTAAACTGTCGCCACGTTCGAAGGCTCCCGGGGACGGCCAACGTAGTGGGTAATGCGCGCCGACTCGAAACATCGTCCCTCTCCTTCCTCTGCCCTTCTCTCATCGTCACCCCTTTCCTGCTGACATTTCTTCGAGCTCCTGCCTCGCTGACTTTTCAGCTCCCCGTCGGCCTTCTCTCCTCACTCCTCGCCTTTTTCCCCCTCGAGCCTGTGATAGAAGGAATCCCACCAGCCCTCGAAGCGTGAGTGGTTTAGCGAGTTTCTTCTTCCGTTTCCCCCCTTCCCCTTCTAGGAATGATGACTGTTCCCTATGATTAATCACCCCCTCCCCCGGGCGACCGGCAGCCAATCAGGATCAATGCGCCCCCGAATTCTATGCTAACAAAAAACATCCGAAGCACGACTTGGGACAAAATCGTGGGTCATGCTCGTGGGCCCCGCGATCACTTTGTAGTGTTTCCCAACCATCCTTTGGTGTAGAGTCCTCATTTTGGAGAGACAGTCCCCGCGTCTCCGTCTCCTCTCCTCCTCCTCCTCCTCTTCCCGCTCCTCCCTCCTCCCGTCACCCTCCTCACTTTGATACACCCTTCACACGCTTCGTGGCCCCATAAGGAGCTCCACCGAAGGCCCCAGTGGCTGCATTCGCATGCCGCTACCCTACGCACTTTGGCACACCCTTCGCACGCTTCGTGGCCGCATAGGGAGCTCCACTGAAGGGGCCAGTGGCTGCGTTCGCATGCCGCCACCCCCCTCACTCACACACGCTTCGTGGCCTCATAGGGAGCTCTTCCGAAGGCGCCAGTGGCTGCGTTCGCATGCGTCACCCCCCTCACTTTGGCACACCCCTCGCACGTTTCGTGGCCCCATGGGGAGCACCACCGAAGGCCCTAGTGGCTGCGTTCGCATGCCGCCACCCCCCTCACTTTGGCACGCCCCTACACGCTTCGTGGCCCCATGGGGAGCTCCACCGAAGACCCCAGTGGCTGCGTTCGCATGCCGCCAGCCCCCTCACGTTGGCATACACCCCATTCGCTTCGTGCCCTCATGGGGGGATCCACCCAAGGCCCCAGAGGCTGCGTTTGCACTCCGCCACCCCCCTTTCTTTGGCACACCCTTCACACGCTTCGTGGCCTCATCGGGAGCTCCACCGAAGGCCCCAATGGCTGCGCTCGCATGCCGCCACCCCCCTCACTTTGGCACACCCTTCACACGCTTCGTGGCCCCATAAGAAGCTCCACCGAAGGCCACAATAGCTGCGGTCGCATGCCGCGCCCGCATGTCTTCTCGCGCTTCTCCCGGTGCCTGTTAGCCACAACGGGTTACATCAGCATGTAACCCGTTTCGTCTGACCTCCGCGCCCCCTGCGGGTGGCCCCAGCGGCAGCGCCCGCATGGCGCCCCCAACTCATTTCGGCGCTCCCTTCACGCATGTCGTGGCCCCCTAGCGAGCTCTACCGAAGGCGCTTTCCACAACGGCGGTACTAACAATTGCGTATGGTTGGGTCCTTCGCCTGGATAATGTGGCAGGGACGGCGGGGGTGCCCTCATATTGCCTGCTTTGCGCAAGGCCGCCATCCTTGTCAAAAAGGAAGGAGAACATACACTTCGCGGCTAAGTCCGCCGACTCTGTCGCCGTGTGGAAGAAGCTCTTTCGTTCGTCGCTGTTTCAAACGTCGTCTCCTCGTCGTCGTCGTCGTCGTCGTCGTCGCCATTCCAAGCTTGTTCTTAGGTCTCCTTTTCCAGCGCGCCAGCCGTTGCCTGTCTTACCCTGGGCCTTCTCTTCAAGCGCGCTAACCAAAAACGAAAATAACGAACGTCGTACTCCATTCGAAGGGAAGCCCCTTCCATTGACCCCTTCCCCGCAAGAGTGGGGGGTCTCTCGAGGGGGGTCCCAAGGGGAGACCTTGGGGGGGGTCCCGGGTCAGAATGTCATTTCCGTCACCGTTCGTCCCTCGTCTTCTGTCCTCCTTTTCGAGCCCAAGAGCGCCCAAGAACGCTCCAACAGCGCTCCAAGAGCGCCCCAAGAGGCGATCTTTGGGGCTCCCGGGGGGCGGCCTTGATTACGAGATGGCCCCAAGAGCGCCCCTGAGTCTCCCCAGAGCGCCCCAAGAGGGCCCCAAGAGGCGGCCAGACGGACCCAAGAGGTGCTCAAAATCCTCGTCGTCCTCGTCGTCCCCGTCTTCAGGGTCGACGGCACCGGCCGGAAGGCTTTCGCAATCTGGATCATGCGCGGCCACCCCCCGCGATGACTGTCCAGTGGTGCTCGACAAAGGCCACAGAAGTACTAGCATACTGCCTGCTGTATGCAGGCCCACCAGACACTATGATGGCCTCCCTGGCGCAGTTGTGCATTGATTTCCGACAAGGATGGTGGGAACCACCATGTTTCCCGATGTGTGCTGGGACGCACAGAGACATACTAATACTATATGTCCGCCTTGGAGGCGCGCGTCCGACCCGAACATATAGTATACCCATCTTGTAGTATATCGTTTCTCGAGCGGTGTGGCCAGAAAGCGCCCGCCACGACGCATGTTCTATAAGAGTTCTCGGTACGCGCGTCGCCCCTGGGGGGCGACGAACACATAATATAAGTATGTTGGGGGAACGCCGATGTGCGGTCACGTGCGCGGGTGCACCTGGCACACTCTGCGCGTGCCCCAACGGTGGCGCGTCTGGATCGCCTGGACCGCGCGGCACACTGGGCGCACACGGAACAAGTGGCGCATCTGGCGCGCGAGGCGTGCCTGGCACGCTTGGGTTCCTGGGGCGCCTGGCGCACCTGGAGCGCCTGGCACGCGTGGCGCACCTCGCCCCATCGCGCACATGAGGTCCGGATTGTTTCCCAGTGCCTGCCCATCCACAGACGACTGCTGAACATGCTGATGCCCGGGTGCTATCTGTGTGTTGGGAGGGCGGGTTGGGAGTGAGCGAGACAGCTTGCGGGCGTGGAGGGTGTCTGGACCCGTCACCCACACCCCTCCCACGAAGTTTGGACGGAGGGGGGGTCGTGACGCGTTGGAGCGTCCAGGATGGCCTCGGCTAGGAAACCAACATCATTGATTTGACAAGATTTTTTGGCCAAATGTTGGCCTCCTGGGGGGCCCAATTGAGGAAGCCTCCTTCTTTGATGGATCACCTCCAAGAAGGCTCCAGAATGTCCCGCGAGGTCCCCAAGATTGCCCCACGAGGGCCCCAAGAGGCCGCCACCACGAGGCCCCAAGAGGCCCCAAAAGGTTCCCCCGAGGCACCCAAGACGCACCGGGATGCCTCCAGGGCCGACAAGGGCCCCCCAAGAGCCCCACCAGGCCTACAAGAAGCCCTCGAATGACATCCTAAGAGACTCCGAGAGGCATCCAAGAGGCCTCTGGCCTTTCCGTTCGCCCTCCTCCTCTTCCTCTTTTTCATCCGCCTAGTCCTCCCCCACCTCCTTCCACCTTACTCCCTCCTCCCTCCTCCCACTTCCCCCTCTTCCTGTTCTTCCTTCTCCTCCTCCTCCTCCTCCTCCTCCTCCTCCTCCTCCTCCTCACCCCCATCACCTTCAAAAGTCTCATCATTATCATCATCATCCTCATCATCCTCATCATCCTTATCACCATGATCATCATCACCACCATCATCATCAGGTTCCTCCTCCATCCTCGGGGTATCACGGCTTCCAAGCTTTTCTTCCACTGCGTGCTCCCCTACGTGCCTGATCAGGGCAACTCGCCTGCGCATCGTTTCTGGTTGGGACGGTGGGGTTACGCGAAGAATCTAGAATTAACAATTACATCCATCGACCCCTTGTCCATCGATCGGTGCCCTGTGAGTCGCGCAGCTCGCGAGCCTCCCAAGCAGCGTTCGCAGCAAACAAAACAGATTGCCACGGTATCGTCCCGAATCGCTTATGTCCAACCGTTTCGGCCACGCCTTGCGCAAGGGCTGGGCACGTCGCCATGGTAATTCTCAATGCGGGGTCCCCCGAAGTCCTGACCCTTCTCTCCAGGGCCGGTTTTGCATCACGAGTCGTTGCTCGACAGTCCAAAAGCCAGGCGAGGGCCCCTGGAGTCCGAAAACAACCGAAAACCAAAAAAACCTTGTCATGATGCTTTAACGTCGCGAGCATGTCTGGGGACACCGCCTCCCTCCACCAGGTTCGCCTTCCCCCCCCCCCCCCGGTCCTCGTGGCTCTCCCCGAGCGCACCGCTGTGGAGCGGCGTGAGCATTCCATCGATATCGCGAAACAGGATCCTCTCGAGGTGCAGCGGGGTGGGCCGGCAAGAAAGGGGGCAGGGCGAAGCCAAGGGGGTCGAGGAGTGCAGAGGTCGCCTCGGTAGCTGCAGACGGTGAGGAAGATTGCTGCAAGAAGCCCCAAAAAGGCACTTGCACTGAAGATCTCTCAACTGGGGAGAGGCAGAGGGAGGGAAGGAAGGGAGAGAGAAGGAGACACGCACATGTTTATATACATTTTCATGTGCAGAGAGAGTGGGGAGAGATGTAATTAGAGAGAAAGAGAAATAGAGAGAGAGAGAGAGAGAAAAACCAAAAAAACCAAAAAGAGAGAGAGAGAGAGAGAGAGCGGCGCGAGGCGAGGCGCCCAGGAGGCCCCAAGAGGCCCCCAAGAGGCCGTCAAGAAGCCCCCGTTATGAGGACCCAAAGAGGCCCCCAGGAAGCCCCAAGAGGTCCGCAAGAGGCTCCCAAGGGGCCCCCCAGAGGCCCCCCAAACGCGCCAGAACGCCCCCAAGAGGCCCCCGAGAGCGCTCCCAAAAGGCCCCAAGAAACACCCCTGAGGACACTGACCCGCAACCCAGGCACGGTGGCGGGATTGGCCGAAGGCCGTTATACATTCGCCGCCCCATGTTGGTCTTGCCACAGGGGTGCCTGGTGTGCTGGACGTCCGAGAGGTCGTTGGTTTTTTCCCAACCATCCTGTGGTGTTGGGTCCTCGTTTTGAAGAGACGGTCCCCGCGTTCCTCCTCCTTCTCCTCCTCCTCCTCGTCCTCCTTCTCCTCCTCGCCCTCCTCCCTCCTGCGTTCGCATGCCTCCCCACCACCCATTTCGGCACACCCCTCACACGTTTCGTGGCCCCATAGGGAGCTCCACCGAAGGCCCCAGTGGCTGCGTTCGCATGCCGGCATCACACACTCTACCACCACATTTCGGCACACCCCTCACACGTTTCGTGGCCCCATAGGGAGCTCCACCGAAGGCCCCAGTGGCTGCGTTCGCATGCCTCCCCACCACCATTTCGGCACACCCCTCACACGTTTCGTGGCCCCATAGGGAGCTCCACCGAAGGCCCCAGTGGCTGCGTTCGCATGCCTCCCCACCACCATTTCGGCACACCCCTCACACGTTTCGTGGCCCCATAGGGAGCTCCACCGAAGGCCCCAGTGGCTGCGTTCGCATGCCTCCCCACCACCCATTTCGGCACACCCCTCACACGTTTCGTGGCCCCATAGGGAGCTCCACCGAAGGCCCCAGTGGCTGCGTTCGCATGCCTCCCCACCACCCATTTCGGCACACCCCTCACACGTTTCGTGGCCCCATAGGGAGCTCCACCGAAGGCCCCAGTGGCTGCGTTCGCATGCCTCCCCACCACCCATTTCGGCACACCCCTCACACGTTTCGTGGCCCCATAGGGAGCTCCACCGAAGGCCCCAGTGGCTGCGTTCGCATGCCTCCCCACCACCCATTTCGGCACACCCCTCACACGTTTCGTGGCCCCATAGGGAGCTCCACCGAAGGCCCCAGTGGCTGCGTTCGCATGCCTCCCCACCACCATTTCGGCACACCCCTCACACGTTTCGTGGCCCCATAGGGAGCTCCACCGAAGGCCCCAGTGGCTGCGTTCGCATGCCTCCCCACCACCCATTTCGGCACACCCCTCACACGTTTCGTGGCCCCATAGGGAGCTCCACCGAAGGCCCCAGTGGCACATCTTGGCCATGCCCCCCACCCCATTTCGGCACACCCCTCACACGTTTCGTGGCCCCATAGGGAGCTCCACCGAAGGCCCCAGTGGCTGCGTTCGCATGCCTCCCCACCACCATTTCGGCACACCCCTCACACGTTTCGTGGCCCCACAGGGAGCTCCACCGAAGGCCCCAGTGGCTGCGTTCGCATGCCGCCCCCACACCAACTTCGGTGCACCCCTCACACGTTTCGTGGCCCCATAAGGAGCTCCACCGAAGGCCCCAGTGGCAACGTTCGCATGCCGCCCCCACACCCATTTCGGCACACCCCTCAAACGGTTCGTGGCCCCATAGGGAGATCCACCGAAGACGGTACTCACACCAGCATTACTCACAACTGCATATGGTTGGGTCCTTCGCCAGGCTAATTGAAAGAACTCCGCCTTGGGCTTCGGTACAGCGCGCTGGTCACCTGGAAGACCCGGTTGCCAAGGTTTTTCCTGCTCCAAATGGCTCCGAAATGGCCTACAATGGCCTCGAAGACGGCCAGGATGGCCTCCAAACTCGCCCAAGATGGTGCAAGATGGTCTCCAAGACGGCCCCAGAGAGTCCAAGATGCTTCCAAGTTCGTCCAAGAAGCCTCCAAGACGGCTCCAGACGGCCCAGAAGCCCCCAAGAGGCCTCTAAGATGGCGCAACAGGCTTCCAAAAGGTTCCCGGTTGCCCGAATAGGCCAACATCATTGATTTTACATTGGTCTTTGAAGGATTGTGGCATTGCCTTTTTCGGCCTTCAGACGGCCCAAGAGGCCCCAAAGATCGCCCCCAGAGCGCCCAAGAGGCCTCAAAGATGGCCCCAGGAAGGCCCAAAATGCTTCCAAGACGGCCACCAAGGGGCCCTAAGACACCCCAAGAGGCCTCCAGGACGGCCAAGGCGGCATTCGAGACAACCCTGAAGCGCCCCAAGAGGGCCCCAATACGGCCCACAAAGGCTCCCAAGACGGCTTCCGACGGGCCAGGGAACGGCCAAAGGGGGCCCAAGAAGCTCCCAAAGGCTCCCTAAGAGGCCCAAGGAGGCCCCCCGAAGGCCTCCAAGAGGCTCCCAGGAAGCTCCCAGGAGACCCCAAGAGTGCCCCAAGAGGCTCCCAAGAGGTCTCCTCCTCATCCTCCTCCTCTTCATCTTTCTCCTCCTACTTTCTTGTTCTCCTCTCCTCATTCTCCTCATCCACAAGAGTTCCCCGAAAGGCTTCCACAACGGCTGCAATATGTCATCAAACGGTTGGCCACTTAGGCGTATCCTAATAGGCAGGGGGGCGGCGGTGGTTCGCCGTATGCGTCTTCGATATGTATAAATGTACACACGTATCTATGTGTATACGTGTATGTGTACATATGTGCAAGCACAAATAATCACATACATTCACACGCCCAGACCGACCCACGTATCTATCTACCTGCCGACCTACATACCTACATACATACATACATGCATACACGCATGCAGGCATACATACATTCATCTATACGTATCTACCTACCGACCTACATACACACATACATACATACATACAAACATACACGCATTCACACATACACGCATATACACATACACATACACGCACACTAACATGCAGGCACACACACATGCACACCCATACACGCACACTCACCGACACACATACACACATGCATGCAGATAAACATACATGCACGCATACAATCATGCGCGCGTGCGTGCTACCCAACGTGTATAACTATGTCTACATATGCGCCTACGCTTACATATATGAGTACAAGCATACACGCATGCAAACATACATGCACCCATGCATACACAGGTACATGCAATCAGCCACACACGCATACATATACATTCAAACATACATGCATACATGTTCACACATGCATACGAACGTACGTACATACACCTGCATACAGGCATACATACATGCACGCATACATATGTACATGCAAGCAAACGAACATGCACACGTACGTACATACATACATACATGCACACACATGCATGCATGCATGCATGCAAGCATGCATACGTGCACGCATCCACCCATACACACCTACACACATATGCATATATACCCAAATACATACATACAGACATACAACTATACAAACATGCATACATACGTACATGCACACACATGCCTACACACATACATATATGCATGCATGCCTGCATGCATACGTGCATGCATGCCTGCACACATACGCGGATGCACATATACTAACATATCTAAGTACATCTATACAGACATATATACATACATACCTACATACATACATACATGCATGCATGCATACATACATACATACAGACATACGCACACACACCTATACATATATAAGTATAGACATAGCACCCCGCAATTGCGGATAAGAGTGAGGGGGCGGGCGCGGACGACGCGGGCGTCGAGTCGGCGGACCTCGTGGCCCTCACCTTCCCTGTCGATGGCGCCCTCCTCCTCCTCCTCCTCCTGCTCCTCCTCCTCCTCCTCTTCCTCGTCCGCGTCCTCGTCGTCGTCGTCCGCCTCCTGCTCCTCCACCTCCTCCTCCTCCTCCTCCTCCTCTTCCTCCTTTTCCTCCTCCTCCTCCTCCTCCTCCTCTTCCTCCCCCATCCCGATCCTCCCCCCTCCTCCTTTTCGTCGTCGTCGTCCTCCTCCTCCCCCTCCCCCTCCTCCTCCTCCTCCCTCCTTTCTCGTCGTCCCCCTCCGTCCCCCCCCCCCTTTCCTCCTCGCCCTCGTCGTCGGCCTCCTCTTCGTACTCGTACTCGTACTCGTCGTCGTCGTCGTCGTCGTCGTCTTCCTCCTCCTGCTCCTCGCCCTGCTCCTCCTCCCCTCCTCCGCGGCAGCAGGCAACTGGATTGTCAATGAACGTGTTCAGACACAGCCCCGCCGCAGGCGCCGATGTGCTGTTGTAGAATCAACGTGGGCCGGATCGGGGGAATGGCACGAGGGCGCTTTCCCAAACCAATGCGAGCAAGCCCGCCGCAGGCGCCGATTAGCGTGCTCTGACAAGTTCAGCGCGGGGGGGATCGCTGGTGGGTCACCCGGAACGAATGCAAAAGCAGCCCGCTGCAGGCGCCGAATTGTTGGCTTGTTCAGTGAACGTAGTTTGGGCCGCGGGTGGGTCGCGGGCTCTCCACCTCCACCTGGAAGGAATTCAAAAACAGCCCACCGCTGGCGCCGAAAATTTTGATTTGTACACTGAACGCGGTTTGGATGGCAGGTTCTCCACCTGGAACGAAAGCAAAAGAAGCCCGCCGCAGGCGCCGAATTTTTGGCTTGTTCAGTAAACGTAGTTTGGGCCGCGGGTGGGTCG